GACAGGAGCTACGCTGTCGTGTCAGCACCCAGAGATGTACAAGAGGACAGCAAAGGGACGTCAGAACAGAGGGCAGGAGATGAAGGAAGGAAATTCAAGGGGAAAAGTCATTACTTCAGGTCTCTGAAGCACCCAGTGTCACCACAGCAATTACGGGAGATGATTTGAACAGCAGGGCTGGCTGTTGCTCTCTAGGGACGGCAGAAAACTGAGGCAGGGAAGTCTGGAGCATTTTCAGGGTCTGAACTTTAATGCCTAGCACTGCACACATGTTTTACAGGACAGTTGCTTTGAGTTAATTCTGTATGGACTGCTGTCAGGGATGGCTTCAAGTCTGTGTATAAAGCTGCTCACACACATGTTTGTTCTCCTTATTCATTGAATAAGGGGCAGGGGGTGGTTACAGGTTAATGGATTTTCAAGCTGAAGAGTTTGCCAGTAGCATTCAGGACATGGGAATTTGTGCCAGAAACCTTATCAGAGACAAACCATACTGTGATGTCCTTTAGTGAAAGCCCAAGTATTAGCTCCTTAATGTGTTTACCCTGAGATAAATGCACAGTAACACATTGATGTGCAGGCAATTAATTGGGGATGTGCCCCAGTGCAAGGACAATACTCAATAATAAACCTCTTTAAGAATGTCCTTCTGAACAATGTGCTGACTACCTGACTATTTTGATATCTAAAAATACAATGACCCTGAGCCTCACATAATCCCAGAGACTTTCCTGAAAAAAACATCAGGGCAAGTTAAGGACCTTCTTGTCTGGCTGGGTTGGTTGTGGGCAGAAAGGACCACAACAGCACCTGCAGCATAATTTGATATGGTTAATAGCTGCTTAGAAAATTAAAAATTACCCTGGAATTTTAAAAGCTCAGGAAATGGAGGAAAGTGGGGATGTGGCTACACAGTAAGCAGTGCTTAGAAAAATCCTTTTGGCCTTGTGGAAAGCATGTGATGAACCAAAGCACTCCAGAAAAGAGGAGCCTTAGGGAGCAGCTGATCTCTCCCTGCAGAACTGAACTACTAAATGCAGAGCAAGCCCTGGGAGATGCCTCCCTTTGGCTGAAGTTGTGCTGTTTGTATCAGTCCATTAGCAGATCTAACCCACCCTCCATGAGATTGGTTTTATGGTGTCTCATTATCCCTCCTGTTTCTTAGCCTGTCTCATCCAGTCCTTGGGACCAGCTCTTACCTGAATAAGGGACAGCTGCCTTTGAGGTGAGGAGGAAGATGTTGAAAACAAACTTGCCTGTCAGGCACATTGGGCTTGCAGAACATATTTTTCAGCTTTGAGGGTGGCCTGCTTAGTCAAGCCTGACTATTTCACTGCGCTGCAGAGGCTGCCCTGGTATTAATTCACCTCAAAGAGCAGGTTGAAGTCATTAAAATATTTTGCAGGTGGTTCCTTGAATTCATGGTGCAGCTGGATCCAGCCTAAAGGGGGAAAAAAAAGGAAAGGAGGAGAAGAGGCAAGTTCTGATGAAACACAAATTAACATAACTCATAGAAGGGAAAGAAAATCTGTTTTCAATCTCTACAACAAAGCCAAGCAACACATCAAGCTAGAAAGGAGAAATGTCAGCCAGGCAGTGCTGGGGGTTTTATTGCTTTAGCACAAGTGCTTCTCCAGGGTCCCTGAAGTACCCAGGTGCTACTGCAGCAGCCAGACCCCCCGAGCACAGGTCTGGGTATGCAGGGATGTTGGGGGCTTCACAACAAGGCCTCTGTTTCCATATTGGTCCAGACTCAAGGTTTGTTTTAATGCCCTGGCATTAGAACTTGTGTGTTGGCTTCAGTCTCTCTTCTGCATGGAAAATCTCCATTTAATGCACCATTTCTTGCCCTTAGAGCTGGATACACTTTTTTTCAGCAGATGCTGACCAGGGCTGAGCTGGGCAGTCCATGGGACACTCACAAGGCAGATCCCAGATCTGGTAACTCCATGATCTACTGGTGGGCAGATCACCCACAACCTGGCTTGGCATCCCCTGGACTCAGCAGTGCCTCCTGATGTGCATGGGCATCAAAGCCCTTGCTCCTTCCTCAGGGAGAACAAGGCATTTCAGCACAAACACCGTCACACTGGAGAGCTGTATCTGACAGGGATGGAGGTGTCATCCTCCACAGCAACCCAACACAGCACGGTGCTGTGCCTCGCATTTGGGGCTAAGCCAGTGGTGCTAGCACGGATGTTTTGGCTATTGGTGAGCAGAGCTTGTACAGCACTGAGCCTGGGAGCAGGCAAGAGACTGGGAAGGGACGCAGCCAGGGTTGTGACCCAAATCAACCCCAGGGATGCTCTGCACCATATGACATCAAACTCAGAGATCAGAAGTTCAGGGGAAGAAGGAGGAAGGGGGGATGTTTGTGGTTTGTGTGTTTGTCAGCCCAAAAAGCCATCACGCATGCTGAAGCCCTGATTCCCAGGAAGCAGTTGCCTATCTGCCTGCTGATGGGAAGCAGAGAACAAGTTCCTCTTTCTGCTTTGCTTGCAAGTACAGCTTTTGCTTTCCCTATTAAACCGTCATTATATCAACTCACAAGTCTTTTCATCTTCCATTTTCTCCCCATCCTTTGTAAAAAAGGGCTGACACAACGTTTGGGTGGCTGTTTGGCTGATGGCTGGAGTAAATCCACCACGAGAACTGGTATGTCAAAGTTCACCAAACTTGTTCATTGCAAAAAGACAAAAGACTGAAAAAATCAGGTAATATAGGGAAAAAAAAAAAAAAAGAACCAAGCTACTCTACTACATAGTCTGCCTTGCTATGACAAGGCAATTGTACAGCTCTGGTCATTGCTGGCTTTGTGGTGGACATGTATGGGACATGGGTGAAACCACAGCTACTTGCTTTTTTCTGTGGGAGAGGAATGTGGTCTGTGTCAGGATTACTTCTTGGTGTTCTGAAGCCCACCTGCAGAAACATGGGTGCAGGTATTAGGGTAAGGGGTAGACTGTCACCTTTCCTGGCTGCAGCCCTCACTTCAGTCCAGAGGGTGCAGCAGAAAGAGTGAAGGTTCCTGCACCAACCTGCTCAATATTGGGCCTGTTTGTGCCACACACTTCCCTGGAGAGGAATGACAGACTCCTGAATGTTGCACATTTATGCCTAAGACAGCCTGCAATCAAACAGATAAGTCTGGAAAAATTACCATCTTGTGGATTCACAGAGAAACACCTCTGAGGCAGGATATCTTCTCAGTCGGAAAAAAAGTCTTTAAAGAGCTGCAGCTTCAGTTCTTTCAGGATAACTGGTTTTCCTGAGGAGGCTGATGTCTGCCCAAGCTCCCTGTCAGAATCACTGCTGGGAGGCTGTTGATGAGTTTAGCTATTGCCAGGCTGGAGTTTGATGTCCCTTTGCTTTGCCATGAGCTCCTGGTGGTGGCAAATGCCTGCAGAGGACAACAGTGACAGACGGAAGGTGAGAAAGGTAGCGGGTATGGCCAGGGACTTTTTGGTGCACCAGCCACATCCAGGCCACTTCCTTTTCCCTGCACCAGCAGTTCCCCCAGGCCCGTGACTTTGAGGCAGCTGTGGTCAGTTTATAAACTTGGTTCACATGTTGGTGCACATTTGGAGTGAGAACATGAGGAGCATCTTCTGTATGAATGTAGGAAGGAAAGGGATGAGCTGGAGGACTACAAGCACTTCCTTGAGTGCCAGCAGAACATGTCAGGGGAGGCAGGATGAGCAGCAGGAGGAGAGGGACCAGGGCTTTCTCACAGACAGCCCGAAGGATAAGGCTAATGGCCCAGCAGACATGTCCCATAATGTGCTGGAATCTTTCTATAAATAACCCCATTGCTTCAGCAAAACATCAACCTAGGGACACTGCACTGAATCAGCAGTTTCTTTTCTTTTTTTCTTTCCTGATTGCAAAATCAGAGTCGACCTATTGCTTCAGTCGGTGATGGTGTAGCGAGAAATGAAAGGCAGCAGAAAGCAGGACGGGAGAACACGCACAAAGGCTGAGCCAGCATGTTGAGACATGGTCTCTGGCACCAGGGCGTGGCCCAGACCCTCGGCACCACATGCACTGGGAAATCTGCTGCGTGTTTGCAGAGGCTGACATCGAGATAGAAATGCACCATGACCTCCCAGATGCTCACCTGAGCAATGAGAATGTGGCAGCTCACAGAGGGGCTGCATCAAAGAGAAATAAAGGTTTGACCGGCTGGGTAGGCAACTGCAGTCAGAGGAATCATGACTTTCCCCCCAAAAGTGGAGAGTTTGGCTTCAAAACCTGAAGCACTGCAGTTCAGGGCTGTCAAAATCAATGGAGTCTACCCCTGTTTTTACACCCAGGCCAAGTGGGCCACTGAGAGCAGCATGGCCACAGCATGATGATGAATCAAGTGAAAATTTATCCCTCAGCATCTTTCTCAGGGAAGGATGGCACAAAGATCTCATTGCACCTTTTTTCTTTAGGCAAGCTTTTGAGAACTATGTCTGCCAGCTTATTTTTAATACTTTGAAATAAAATGGATTTGACTAGAAGTATTATTAAAAGCATCTCTGCTGTACATCTGCTCGCTGCGTGCACCTGAATCACATCCATCCCTATAAACATCCACTTGGCAGCACAAGCTCAGTCATTCCCAGCTCATCACCCAGCAAGAGCAGGCTGCTCCAGGCTTGTGCAGAGTGGTCAGCTGAACCACCAGAACCTTCAGAAATGGGCTGGATATGAGCCCTTACTCCTGTGAGGAGGTGATCCCATGGTGGAAGAGGATGCACAGGCATTTACTGTGGCTCATCTGATCGGTGGTAACCTCTCGAGCCTCCCCAATTCAAGGGGATATCTGAGACCTTCACAAGGAAGCAAATTATCCCAATTCCTACACAGAGTGTAGCAGAATGTTTAAAAATGGAGGACTCCTCTTCCTCCCTCCTGGGGACAAACCAGGTCACAGCTGCATAAGCACATTTGAAAGGAGAACACAGAAGTGGATTCAAAAATCCCCACATATCTATGGTTTAAGGCTTTCAGAGATTTGTACACCAGGTGCAGAACAGAGGGCTTCACTCTGCACTGTCAGGGTGTGAATCTCTAGCTCACCCCTGTAGGTTTGCCACTCCTCATTCCATGGCTGAGCAAAGCGGTGAGGACCCAGCAGCCCCAGGGATGAACACAGACCTGCAGCCCAGGACCAAACTGTGTGACAGTGACTGCCTTGCACCTCAGAGGGAGCAGGAGGTGGTGGTGGCAGCGTGGATGCAGAGGGCTCTGCCCAGATCCTACCGACGGCTCCTGCCTGCAGGCTTGGGTGAGTCACTTTGCAAAAGCAAAATCAAGCCCAGCGCAAATGGAGATGTCCAAATGTCAAATGCCAGGGAGGAGTTTGGCAGGGTGAGGGCAAAGAAATGGTGAAGAGGTAGGAATCATGTCCATGAGTGTGAAGAACTCGTCAGGCAGGAAGCAGGAGCTTGAGAGACCTTGTCAAGGAGGCTGCAAGTGTCTCTTCTTCATATCAACCCAAACCCGTTTGGGACTCAGCATTCCCCATCCCACCATCATTCACTTGTCTTACAACTGCTCCTGATTCTTTGCCTCCTTGCACTTGAGTCACACACAGTGACTGAGGTGTCACCTTGGTGCACATTACTGTGTTTCACTGTGACAGAGTCCTCAGCCTCCCCTCCCAGGAGAGGGATTGCCGAGCTAACATTGAACGTGGAATCTTCTTGGCTACCTGAGGAGGTTTACTCGTGTCCATCCTAACTTAGGATGTTGGAGTTTTGGGGTTGCCTACCTCCACCACAGTGCAGAGATGTTGAACAACTCCAGGTTGAAGCTCTTTCAGGATCCTGCCCAAGGTTCCCTGGACTCCAAGTGAGCACACGAGAGCAGCTCAGTATCTTAGCTGCGGGGTTTTTTGAGGAACTGTTCAAATTACCACATCAGACTTCTCAGTAGTCTATAAAAGCTGAGCAGTTAGGAAATGCATATCAGAGAGCATATCAAATCAGGAGCTAGAGAGGAAGTACCTCCAGTTCTTTATTGTCCACAACCTGACAAGGCTTTAGCTTAACCACAAGAAATTTGTCATGAAATTTAAAGACAAATATGGGGAAGATGGAAATTCAAGTGATATGAACTCTTTAAGTCTTTCAGAAAAGATTGGGTTTGTCTCACCTGCTACTACAACCTTTCAGATAAGTGGTAAGATTTCTTTTTATTCAGTGGAATTCTATGGATTTTATCTGGTCTAAAACAACACAGAAAAATGAAATATTGCATATTAAATACTTTTTGCAGTGATTTTGCTAGTAAATTAACTGCCATTTAAAAGTAGAATTATGTCAAACAACCCTTTCTAGTCAAAAGTTGATGCTGAGCATCAGAAAAAAATTAGTTATTTTCCTGTCTTAGAAAATGTCCAATTTTCTTGAGTAAGACTTTCATGCATAATAGTTAAGATACTAAAATCACCAGACTCAATAAAAAAATGTAAGTTTATGAATTTTTAGCTGAATATAAAAGCTTCATTGCTGACTAAGCCATTCTATTGTAAAACCAATTAAAATACTGTACTCTTCTAAAACTAAGACTTTAAATTCCTGATTACATTATTTTGAGAAAAAAGAAAAGCCTCTATTGAGTGTAACTCACTGAATGTCTGATGTAGTTACCAATGCTTCTGAAATGCTTCTTGGTTTTTTTCCCCCTGAAGGCCAAAATTCAACAAAGCCATTTATTTCTTTTATACTTGCTGGTAATGATTGATTTTACATCTTATGACTTGTTTCAATTTGTTCTGCACTTCAGCTTACTATTGATTTTTCATTTATTTTGATGCATACATGCATCACTGTTGGAATCACACATATGCAGTGCTCTGGATGGAGAGGGAATTGCTTTGAGCAGCACTCCAAACAGCAGCCTGGGACAGCCAAAAGCACTGGGAACAGGGAGTTTATTGATGCAGAAAGGGGATAATCACCACATTCACACTGTTACAGTCTGGATTAAGTCTTGCAGGAAGTGAGCTGGTTAAATTAGCTGAGGAAAAGATGGCCAAGCAGACTGCAGAGCAAAGCGTGGAGCAGAGGAAGGCATCCTGCCTTGCTGGCAGGATGAGCACTCTCACAGAGGCACCTTGCTGCTCCACACTGCTGGGAAGCACTGTGGCCGGACCTGAAAAGGCTGCAGGCAAGCAGAGCTGTAGGGGAGAAATGTGGCAGAGTGCCCACCCTTCATCTCTTGGTTTTTAGAGCCTCGGAGCCAGAAAAAGGCATCCACATGTTGTGTTCGGACAGCCCTCAGCATCTACCTGCTGCTGCTGACGGCCGGCCAGGGACTGCTGATGTACAAAGGTAACGCTGCAACCTCACCATGGGCTTGGCATCAAACGAGAGCTTTGCTGGGTGCTCCTGGGGGCACGGGCAAGCAGGAATGAGCACACAGATCTGAGCCCTCTGAGGGGGCACACAGGCTCCTCCGCACACTGCCAGGAAAAGCTGCAGGGAACGATTCGCCCACCCTCTGTGTGTGCTTTGCATTTGCAAAAGCACTCCCAGCTGCACTCCTGGCTGCAGCAAGCACTGGCACATGAAAACCACCTCCCTGGGTCAGACAGAGGTGGTCTTTATTCCCCAGTGTCCCCCCCAGGTGCTGAGGAGCTGCTCTGCCAAACAACCATTTCCTAGCCAGACCAGGCAGTGAACATTCATTCATGGGATTTTTGTTTCCTCAGTATTTAAGATGCAGGGAGAGATATTGAAACTTCAAGAACAAAATGCCTCCTATACAGAAGAGATTCAGGAGAGCCTCTTTGCCCAAAAACTGGCCTTGTCGAAAAGCTCTGCTGGGAAGGACTTTCTCATGATACACGAAGAAAGCTGGAGGAGAAGCTTAGAAGAGCAAATCACCATCATTAAAAGCAACAATGCAAACCTGATGATGAGGATGAAGAACATCACCGTGATTGCAGGTATGGCTCTCCATGCTGGCTCTGCAGCAGGGACACCTGGCTCCCCTGCATCACCAGCAGTTTAGATGATTCAATAACTTGGGCAAGATTTAATCTTCCTCTCAGTTATTGATGCCCTTGTGCCAAGGATTGGAGTCAGCTCCAGACCAGGGAGCGCCTATAGGAGCTGGAGCACTGCCCTGTGCAAGCCCCCGTGGCTCTGGGCTCCTCTCCCCTCCTGTGATTTGTAGATTTGGACTCTAGGTGCCCTCCAAAAGGGTGGTGTCTCCAGCCCACACCTCAAGCCTGTCAATCCCATACTGCTGTGTTCCTCACTGACTGCTGACTACTGAAAAATACCCATTAAATATTTATTTCAGGGCCTCCTGGACGCAAAGGAGATCCTGGTCTACCAGGTATGTTGGTAAATGAGCCACAACTTCTCCTATTTTTCTCTTCTTCTTTATTTCATCAATGAGACCTTAAGTGAGGATTTGGGATTTCAGTCTCCAGACCTTACCCAGTGTGCAGACACCCATGCCCTGGTGATGAGGAGACCTGCTGTACCTTGTCACTGATCCTCCAGGAGCCTTGGCTAGCCCACAGAGTGCTCCCACAGAGGACAATGCCCACCCTGTCCCTAGGAAAACATTGCCACAGACTCGGGAATGAGCTGGCTGCAAGTTCTGCCCTCCACCACCAGCTGCTGCCCTGGGTACCTGGGGTTTGGGTAGAACCTGCCACAGGAGGTAAACATCTCCAGACTGTGAGGGTGCAGCAAGTCCTGATCTAACACTGGCTCCACTTTGAGCAGAGGTTGGAGCAGGCAACAGTTTCTATAATCCTGCGATGATGATCTAAGATGCAACCCTTGTTAGGTCAGGCCTGTAACTCATCCATCCCTACTTCTTGGCCACAATGATGAGATTTTCTGAAGGAAAAAAAAAAAAAAATTAAAAATTGTGTTTTCATATCTTCCTGGCTTTACTTACGACATTGAAACGGCACCTCCTGCCAAGCAGTGTTATTACACATCAGAGCCCCATCGTTCAGTGCGTTTTCATGAAAGATCTCCCCAATGGCCCCCATGAGCTGGGCTTGGCAGGAAGACAAGCTGGCCCCTGCCCAGCTGAGCACTCAGCTGAACTCCAAGGACTTTGCTCAAATGGTTGTGCTGGTCCCTGCCAGCTGAAGATTGGCCTCACTGGTGACTGAAATTGTGTGAGCGAAGGATCATTAAAAAATGTGTCTCTTCTTCTTAGCCGTTACTGTGAATAGATTATGTGTGTCAGCTGATGTATGTGTTTTACATCCCAGGGTTACAGGGACCACCAGGGACAAAGGGAGACCAAGGTAAGGCTTTTCTGGCACCTGAATTACTTCTGTGGATGAACATAAAGTGGCTTTATGGATGATTTTATGAGCAATCTTGTCCTCAGCCAAGGTGTAAGTGAGTAAGAATGTCATTGGAGCTGAAGGAAATAGGCCTATGTAAAGATAATGTGAGCAAAAGCAAAACTTAGCTGGAAAAAATCTTATTTTAAAATAAGTCAGTGTACAACAGTCACAGTGGGCCTATTTCCCACCTCAAGTGCCCAGAGAGTGGAGTTTGGCTCATGCTCACAGCTGTGGTGCGTGTCCTGCTGCTGGCATTCACTGGACATGGCACCCCACGAAGCATCAGAAAAATGGTGCTGTCCTTGCAGGTGTACATGGACCCAAGGGTGAGAAGGGGAGCAAAGGAACTCCTGGTCCTTCTGGCCCAAGTGGTAGTCCAGGAGTGAAAGGAGAAAAAGGAGAGCTGGGGCTTACAGGTAAGACTTCTTCACTGTCTCAGCATTTTTAATGTTCTCACACATATTTATTTTTAAACTCAGGAAGTCTTCATAGGTCAGTATTCAGAAAAATCCAAGCAGCCCTGAGTATGGTTTGCCAGTCAGTGAAGGAGCTGGATAAACTGGACATTTGATCTGATCTGAAGTGGTTTAATTGCATGTCATGCTTCAGCAAACCTCACAAAGGAGGGCTGGGAGAAGGGGCCATGCAAAATGTTGATTCTGCACCACAGAAGTCTCTTTACAGAGTGACCTTTGTCTAATGAAAGCCACAGATACTCAATTATCAGCCTATCCTAGATTAAAGCAGTGATGTTTGCAGTGGGATTTCCATGGTATAAAATAATACAATATAATTTAAATGCACAAGCATGTGGATATTAGTCCTCATTTTAGTGGAACCTCTTTCTGAGAGCTTTATATCTTACATAAGCCTGGCTTTTTACACCTGACGTAGAAGAGTTATGCAAAGTGTTTCTCCCAGGTGACACACATTATGGATAGCTGTTACTCAGTGGTCTCCCAAGGGCTGGAAGCAGGAGAGGAAGACAAAGCAGGCAATGAGTGTGGTGCAGAGCAGTGAGGACAGGCTGATAAGAGCCCCCTCAGATCTTCCATCAGATCCTGAATGCCCCAATGCTCTCATTAGCACAAGATGCTCCAGAAGAGAAGAGTGACTTAGGAGGAATACCAAAAGGCAAGGACTTTGGGATAATTCTGGAGCAGAACAATGAAGGAGATGTAAGTCTTCACATGAGACACCTTCAAGTAATTCTGCTCTTTTGGAGCATGCTTGATCACCTGTTCAGAGAAGAGAAGGTTAAGAGGAGGTGACGGAACTCTCTGGAAGTGCACGAGTAGAATGTGCTGCCCTGTATCTCCACGGCTTCTAGCAGATGGGAAGCGTTCAGACTGCAGTAAGGGATACTTAACTAGAGGAGAAAACATTCCAGCAGCAGGGATAGTTTGGGGAATAGATTGGAGAGGTGTCATGGCACCACTAAAAGCCTTTAACCTCAGGCCAGACAAACATCTGGCCAGAGAGGCTGACAGAGCCAGAGGTGGATCAGACAGAGCAGCTCTGTCCTCCTACAGCTTTATGGTGGCAGTGTCACTGAATGGTCAGTGCAGGTGTGAGGCCAGACCTTGCTACTGGTGTGGCCAGGCAGAGGTGCTCCACAGGCTGCAGAGACAACAAATCTGGTTTTTAAAATTTACACATGTGTGCTGTGTTGTTTGATAGGTCCCCAAGGACAGAAAGGGGACGTGGGCATGAAGGGAGACCCCGGGAGCCAGGGACCCGTGGGTCCTAAGGGACAGAATGGACTCCCAGGACTGCCAGGTCTCAATGGTAAGTGCAGAGGACACAGTGTGACAGACAGGGTGCAGGGCCACCCCAGCTGAGGGGCTGGGCTAAGCCTCGTCAGCACTGATGCCAGGATGTCGTTACAGGTAGCCCAGGGAATCCTGGACCTCCTGGGCCAAAAGGAGAGGCAGGTAAGCAGTACAGAAGGTGCAAGTTCTTGTAGAGGCATAACACTGATCTCCTTCATATGGTGTTTCATGACAAGGAAAATTGCAGCTGGTCTAGACCCCAGCATGGGTAAGGGAAGATGATGGTTAGATGAAGAACCCATGCCAACATTTCAGTGTCATCCAATCTCATCCAGCAGCCTTGGCTGTCTCATCTGGGCCCCACTCCCTGTGCAGGAGGCTGAGAGGGAAGGAAGCATGTCCTCCTTCCTGATGTGTGTGCACGCAAGGACAGAAATTGTCTGCTCTGTTAGGGAAGAACTTGTGCATTTCAAGGCTGGCACTCAGCCAGGACCTGGTTCCATGCAGCCTTTCACTCCAGATCATCCCTCACTGCATTGCTAAGATTAGCACTGCCAGGATTACAATTTGGAGACAGCCAGTGCTTGTTTTGCCTTCATAGGCTCAACTCAGTGTGCAAGGGCTGGTGATAGAGCTGTCTGTCTTTTTATCTCCTTCATGTGCTGTGTTGCATTTCATTTGTGCCGCTTTCACTCAACCTCAAGGTGCAACTGGACCACATGGACCTCCTGGAAGCCCTGGCCTTGAAGGCAGACCTGGTCAGAAAGGGGAGAAGGGGGAGCAGGGCCCCAAAGGTAGCCCAGGTACAGCCCTGCTCGAACCTACAACTCACTGGCCTTCTACTCTGGCCTCACTTTGTGTGCTGGGTTCACCCTTACTGATCTCTCTTCGATTTCAGGAGCACAAGGCATTGCTGGACCCAAGGGTGAACAGGGAGGACAAGGAATAGCAGGTAAAGGAGAATAAAACGGGTTTTGGTTCAACAACACACATCATGCAGACACCAGGAAGGGAACTACACCACCAAGAGGAGATCTCTTGAGTCTTCTTGGACCCCCAATGCATGCCAGGATGCCATGGTGGGCTGACTGCTCACCAGAAGGTTGTTCCTGCCATCTGTAATACGCTCGAGAGGGTGATGGTGCCTGGATTTTTATATAAATTGAAAATGCACAAAGAATAAGTTTAAGATGAAGTTCAGAAGAAGATGTTTTTCCACTGCTTGTGTTTTCTTTTTGGACATGGTCTGCACTGAGTAAGATGTGAAATAAGATACCTGTTTCAAGTAGTGAAATATAAATATTAAATTCAGACCTATAAATACAGTGTAGACACCAAAATTAGATGAGTTGAAATCAATTGCAAATACTAGTTTGCATAAACTCTTATAAATGTATAAACACCAGTCTTATGAATGTTTGTTTGTTTGTTTTGATGATCTCAGGACCTGCAGGGCAAAAGGGAGCAAAGGGAGACATGGGCCTACCAGGTAAACTCTTAGAGCATGATTTATTCTGATGATGCAAAGAACCTTAGGTGCCACGTGCCACTGTTCTGCATCAATGTGAAATGTTTGTCATGTCCTTTCCCTGGGAAGGGACAAAGGCAATGGCTTTTTTGCTTTCCACCCAGGTGCCCCAGGCCCAGCTGGTCAAAAAGGAACCAAGGGGGATTATGGCACTCGGGGTCTGAAAGGAGAGCCAGGACTAAAAGGAGCCAAGGGAGACATTGGATTTACTGGTAAGGCTCTTTGCCACAGGGTCTGTGGTGCTGATGGCACATTTGGATTTGGGACTGTAGATCACAGACCACCACAAGCTGCTCTGGGGTGTGTTTTCAGAGGTGATTTGCAGGAACTCAACAGCCAGAGGAATGTGGAGGGTGTCACTGTACACCCTGGGAGGTGTACTAAAAGACATGCAAGTACATAGATGCATTAGATTCTCTCAAATCCCTGATTTCACAGAAAACTGGAACAACCCATGTTCCTCTTTGCTTTGTTCAGAGCCATCAGAAACACTCTATCCCTGGGATAAATCCCACGTAAACACAGCACTCAGGAACATGGAATAGTGAAGCTATTGGAAACATCTAGCAGTGAAGTTATTTAACTACACCTTGCTAACTGTAGGACACAAAAGTTGTTCAAAAAGGCCAACACTGCAGCTACTCTTCATCCTTAATCCCCTTCCTTTCCAATCACAGACTGCTTCAAAAATACATAAGACCTGTAGTACAAAAAAAACCAACAAACAAACAGTTGTTATAACAGGCTGTGGGAAGCAAACAGTGCTCCAGATGCCTTTGTTCATTTAATTGTTCACACAGAATAGTACGAGAATCCTCAGAAATTAAATAAGATTCTAGATTCTATGATGATCACTAGATTCTATGTGGGGCTTCTCCATGCACTCCTCCTCTGGAGCTTTACATCTGGAAGATGGAAGAAGTGTAACTGGGCTGGCTCCAGGCCAAACGCTGCCCTCTGTGTGCATCTCATCTCCTGGTCCCCAGAAGGAGACAGCAATCAGTGGTTTCTGGAGGTAGCTTTGGAGTAAAGAGCTCATTGGGTTTTTCCAAACACTCCTGCCCTCAAGACCAAGATGCTCCACAGAAATGTGGAGGACTGTTGAGCTCACCTTTCTGCTCTCCCTGGAGATCAAATCCCAGGATGTAGGTCTTCCTGACAGTACTTTGGGAGATACCATGCCTGCTTCTGGAGATGCTGAAGTCTACCAGAAATGTCGTCTTACAGGTAACAGTGGGAATGAGACATATTTCCCACAAGTGAATGAATATATGGGATTTTGAAAATGTCTCTTTTCTTGGGTCACACACTGGGAATATTTCCCTTTATGTTATCCTACTTTTCCTGCCATGTTCCTTTTACATACCCTTAGTCACTTCAGGGTGTTCATTTTCTACAAGGTGTTAATTTTCTGCACATCTCTAACTCACACAAGTATTCAGAACTAGATAATAACCAGATTTTTCCACAAGCAACTCTCAAATGTTTGCTTTTCTAATTTGGAACAGGTTCCATGGGAATGAAAGGGAGCAAAGGTGAAAAAGGAGAAGGTACTGGACTTTTACTTTTTCCCTCATTTGCCTCCTGGTATCAGAGCTACCTGAGATCAGGACCAAAATACCCCTCTGCTCACACTGGTTTACCCACAGCACTGCTAACAGAGCCGAGGAGTCTGTGCTCTGAGCTGCAGCCTGGTGTCTCCAAATGCAGGGGGGGCTCTTGAATTGTTTGGATTTGAGCTACCTGTAACCTCTGGTCCCACCCTGGAGAGGGGAACATCCCTCTGGTTGGGTGGTCACAGCTTCTGTCTGTCAGTGTCTTTTTCCTTACGCCTGCATGATCCATTGAGTTATTTTCTTCTCCTCTGAACTCTCAGTTGGCATGGGTAATTTTGTACGAATCGTGGGAGGAGACAGGAGGGGCCGAGTGGAAATCTTCCACAAGGGGACCTGGGGAACAATATGTGACGATGGCTGGACCACCCGAGAGGCCGGCGTCGTCTGCCGAATGCTGGGATTCAACCGCGCCGTCTCTTCCTTCACAGCACCACCAGGTGAGCCCACAACAGCTTTGCACCTCCCCAGGCCAGCCTCAGTGGTTACACACACCCAGAAAGCACCACAGCAAGGTCACCAACATGAGGTGATCTCCTCAACAGAGCATGTTGGATGCTTGGATCCCAAGCTGCATGTCAAGTGCTGCTTGAGCTTGATTTCCAGCAAGCCAACAAGCCAACCCAACACACACTCACTATCCACTGGGCCCTCTGTAGCAAAAAAAAACCCCACAACAAAACATATTCCTCTTTCTCCCATCCAACAGTTTTTTTGTTTGTTTGTTTAATCTTCCAAAGGTACCGGGCAAATTTGGCTCGACGACGTAAGTTGCAAGGGGAGTGAAATTACAATTATGGATTGTAGCAAGCGCGACTGGGGTTCACATAACTGCAACCACAACGAGGATGCTGGGGTGGAGTGTCTTTGATGGGACACCGAGTCTCTGCTGGGAGCTGCTGCTGCCTCTCCTCTCCATGGAGCTTTCCTTCATCACCCACACCCAATTTCATCAAGCTGTACTTTTGTGCCTCTTCAGCAGGTCATAGAAATATTGACAAAAAGAAAGTTGAATTTTTCACAGATCAGTAATAGTTGCAAGACCCACAGGTAACCTGAAACATCCCAGCTGTCACAAAACAATAGGAGCTCAGGCACGTGAGCCAGTTCACAGCTTTTCCAGCTACCTGACATCAGCCCATCTGCAGGAGCTCACACGTGTGTGACCTCCAAGTCCGCAGGGGAGGGGATGGTCCACGTCGGTTTAGTGCAGTAGGAGAATAGGATCAGTGTGCAGAAACCTGCACTGGCTGCAGTAGAGCTGGCTAGTCCATCTTCATCATGGTACAGTTGTGAACCTGAGCTTAAACCCCCCCAGGGAAATGCAATCACCCAAGAGAGCAGATGCTCAGAAATCACTGGGTGATCTCTCTGGCATGCAAATATAAATATTCTTCAGAAACAATGTTGATCACATATTAAAGTGCAAAACCCTGGGATCCAGGTGCTACCTTGGTTTAGCACAGCATTTGTTTTTGACCTTAGCTAAGTCCCTTGCCTTCTCTGTCAGCGTTTCCTAAGCTGTCTCCAGGAGCAGCACCCCTTGCTTATCTGGTGTATAAACCTAAGATTTTCATGCCTTTAGAAATTAGATGCTCCAGTAAAGTGAATTAGTGACAAATAAAGAATATAGCAAAGCATGAATAAGCTATTGATTGGTATTAAATATAAATAAATAAATAGATAAATAAATAAATAAATAAATAAACAAAATAAACTAATACATGGTCGAATAGATAAAAAAAAAAAAATAAATTATGCACACACACCTGTAGATATTAGGGAGAAAGCATTGAACTGGGCTTTCTTGGATCCCATGCGACTGATGCAATTTACGTTCGGTAAATAAAGGTCTCCCTGCAAGGACACACATCCCGACGGGATGCCACGAGTGGGACCGCGGGATGAGCGGCGGGCAGGGCTCCAGGAGCCGTCAGCCGCCTGCGGGCATCCCTCCCCATCCCCGCCGCGGGGATAAGCGCTTATCTCAGTGCCCCTTGCCGGCACTAAGGGGAGCTCAAGGGCCGCCGCCGCTCCGCCAAGCCGCTGCGGGAGAGCCGCGGCACCGGGCCGGCCCGAGGCTGCCCCTGCCCCGCTGCCTTCTCCCACCGAGAGCCGGCATCCTCCTGTGCATCCCTGTCTGCTCCGCTCCCGTCAGAGCCCAGCTCGGGGAGCCCGGCACGGGAGGGACAGCCAGCTGCTGGAGGGGGCTGAGAGGATGCTCCGAGGGATGGAGCGCCTCTCCTAGGCTGAGAGAGTCTGGAGGGGAGAAAGAGCTCCTGGAGGACACCTTCCAAACACCTGCAAGAGAACTGAGAGGGACTTTTGTCAAGGGCATGTAGTGATAGGACAAGGAGAAATTCCTTTCTGTGAGGGTGTTGAGGCACTGGCACAGGTTGCCCAGAGCAGCTGTGGATGCCCCATCACTGGAAGTGTTCAAGGCCAGGCTGGACCGGGCTTTGAGCAACCTGGTCTAGTAAAAGATGTCCCTGCCCAGGGATTTGAAACTAGATGACCTTTAAGGTCCTCTCCAACTCAAATCATTCCATGATTCTAGGATCCCAGGAGTGGGAAGGCAGTGGTGGCCACAAAGGCCTGGCAATACATCCAGAGGGTGCCTGTGATGTCCCACCTGTGTCGTGGGAAAGGACTGAAATGTATTTTGTCCTGTTGCACAGCTGACAGCACGCACAGTGAGACCAAAACCCAAGAGTGGGGTGCCTGGTTTGAGGGAATGAGGGAGGCTGTGGTGGTTTCACCCCTTGGTAATTGCAGCAGGGGTCAACCAATCATCCAAGAAAGGGATTCTGCAAAATAAGAGCAGATGGCTTTAGGGTTTTGTGATGCAGCATCTTGTGCCCGATGGTTTGTGAGAGACTGCTGGGCAGCTGTGACACTTGTACAGGTCTTGCTACCCACTCTTTAACAGCTAGAAACACAATTTTTATGGTAAACCCTCAGATTTTGCCAGCATGTCAGAGGTGTCCCCGTGGAGGGACAGAGGAGGGACAGCTGCCCAGCCCATCCCCAGCCTCACCCCTGTGGGGACAGGACAAAAGTCCCAGCAGTGGCATTTGGAGCCTGAAGCTCAGCACTGGGATCCCTGTGCAGCAGGTTTGGAGGGCACTCATGCCTCACATGTTCACTTCTCCAGTCTGAGAGAGGGCCCACTGGGGCAGGAGGAGTGCCACAAGCCACCGTGGGATGGTTGGTGAGCAACAGAAAACCCTTTTGCATCTACAGAAAGTGGTAGCCCTGAGATTTGTAGGTTGGTTCACAGGACCAACCCCCTTCCTCCCAAATACCCAGCTCCAGCTGTTCCACCCCAGCTTCAAAGTCACCCAGCCATCCTGCACTGTTCCCTTAGGAATGATGTTATTTCCAGATGCTCTCATCCCCGTTCCTGACCATTCCTCGTGATCTGAAGAGATTTGGGATGAATTGGAGTCTTTTGGGTAGTTTTGTCCCATCTTGCTGGCTCACATGTATTTATGAGGTAGGTTAGCAAAGACCCTTGAGGACACAAACCTTTTCTGGAGCCCTAAAACAGCATTTCCAATGTATCTGACACTACCTTTCCAAGAAGATTAACATTTCATAGAGGCTATCTGGTGCCAAGCTGAGAGTTTTTTCCTTTTGGGGAGAAAACTGAGCCTTCTGAAGCCCATTCTGAAGGAATGGGGACCAGCCAGACACTGTGGGATATGTGTGTGGCTGGAAATATTTTCCAAAATTCACAGGGAAGCAACTGAAGTGAAGTTTCCCATCTCAAGCCCCACAGATAGGGAGAGAAGCTGAAGAGCAAAATGTTCACCAGCTAAAAGTCAGTTCTCCAGGTTTCCAAAGCCTGAAGTTTATGCTGAATGCATCATAACACACCTTCTTAGCAAAATTATTGATGATTCCAGCTGCAAAAGTAAAAAAGGCAATGAATGTGTTTAAGACATCATATTAAAATATGCAATAAATGAATTAGTTTTCTGCATTACATTCATACGACAGGTAACAACTTTAATACACATGCAGGCTACATCTAAAGCTTAAACTCAGCTCATCATATATGGGTCAATGATTGTATTTTCATTCCTCTCTTCTGAAGTCTTCTGATGTTTTAGATCACATCACCACAAATCTGCCAGCACATTTCCTCGTTTTTTCTGTTAAACATCACAGTGGAGGGCAGCATCTGGCCTCAAAACCCTAAGACTTTTTTTCAGTCTCACTTGGTTTCAGAACTGGTCAGGTTTTTCTTGGTTAACTTTTTCCCACCAGCATGGTCCAGCAAAGGTCCAACCAGCCATCCAGGGCAGCACACAAGCCCAAGCTGAAAGTGTTTCTGATCCTGCAGAGGAGCCAGTTTGGCTCTCACAGGCACTGGCAGGATCATGCACTGATGCAGGCAGCTGCTCTGCTGTGACAGGGGCTGATTTTACCCCAAAGTGCTTAAACACACTGTTAATGGTAGCTCCAAGCGATAATCCATTTATTTCAGTATTTGTCTTTTTCAAATGTGACCTAAAATCTATAAGTAATTAGTTATTGTACAGGCTACAGTGTTGCAAAATGCTTCCCTTCATTTTTTATTCTGACTCTGAACTATAACTCCACAATCATTCTAGTCACACCAGCCTTCAAAGGTCTAAATGGGGAGGAAGGGGGGCTAACTCCCTAGTATCTTTGAGATTTACAAGAATATTTGATGATTTTCTGGGGATTCAGTGTGAGACAGGAAAAAAAAAAAAAAAGGAGTTTTGCAGGCAGAGAAACTTATGCTTCCAGTTCAAAAGGAAAGACACATCCAAACAGAGAAAGATTTAAATGCTAGAATGCTAAATAAACATTGCCATTCAGCAGCAGTCTTTGTCTTTTGAATCCTAGGTTAAAACTACTTCACAGGGACTATAAACACTCGTTATCCTCCTTTGTTGGAGCTAAATGAATTTTAACCGCAGAAGTTCCAGAGTGAAAAGTTGCCTCCTAAAACTCCTCCCAAGTCACCTCGGTACCCCAGCAGAGGAAGGCAGGAGAGGACTTTGGGAGCGGTTAAATAAGGTGAAGAAGAAAATAGTATACAAATTGTACTTATCCTGGGTCTGCTCGTGATGTTTTGTATAAATGCTAACAAATAAGTGACGCTGTGAAGGTGCTGGTTCCACACCATCAGGGTATCAGCAGCAAAAGGAAGCACAATTCTGCAATGACCTTGCCTTAGGAAATCCCAACCGAGTCAAGGGATTCAGAGGGCTTTCAGCTCAGGCCATAAATCACTCAAGATATGAATTACTGCCTTATTAGAGCAGATTCATAACTGTAATTCTAGAGAAATCCACGATTAGTCTGATCTCCTCTGATAACATGCCAACAGGGAAAAAAAAATAAGTCACCTCCTACTAAGCAGAGTAGCTATTCAAAGGAACTGCAGCAAACTTTCACAGATGTTGAGGCCAGCAGGACCACTGTAATAATCCCATCTGATCTTCTGCGTGGTGCAGGGCAGAAAAACTCCCCCAGGGATTTCTACATCATTTTGAAACTGCAGCTTGTTTTCTAGGAAGGTGCCTTACCTTGGTTGAAAGTTTTCTGAAAGCAGAGAAAGCATTGTATTCCTTAAAAAACCACCACATTCTTGCCTTATGAATCAATGTGGCAGCTCTCTCCCAGTGACTCCACTCCCAGCCTGTGCTGGGACACCAGGAGCCAGCTGAGGTCCTTGAGCCACCGAGTGCTGCTGCCTGAGGTCTGCTCAGGCAAGGCTTAGGAGATAGCAGCACTTGCCAAGATCAAACCAGAGGTGACCTTGGTAGTTTTACTTCTGCTCAGCATCTGAAAGGGTATTTCTGGAAGGCTTTTGCCATAATAGCTGTGGCTGACATGAACACTGGGACTCTGCTTTTGCAGTCGTTCTGATTTTAAAGATGTTTGACTTTACAGAGCAGCGATAGAAGGAGCTCTTTGGGAGTAGAAGGCTCTCACCGCACTTCTGAGGCCCTCAGACTCTTTTCTGGGTAGAAATGAGATCAGACTAAACTAAAGTGGCACTGTTTGCATGAGTAACAGCTAATCCAAATTACCCAGGGCTGAGAGATGAGGATCCCAGGGCTAAAAGAACAAGGGTGTTTTTTTCCACACATGGGTAAAGACTGTTGACTCAACTTGCAGGGCTATAAAATTTCTCCAGTAACAAGCAGGGACAGAGTCCTACAGCAATGCTGCAGGGAAGGGAAATACCCAGTCTCTGAAAATCCACTTATTTCAACCAGACTGAAAGAGCTACACAAGAATATAAACGGTTCTGGCTGTGGTTTAGGGGTAGATGAGAGAAGGAAGAACACCGTTTGCTTCTCCTGTGTTTTTACTTTAAAACTGTAAGATTAAGAGTGAGGAAGTCCCCTGCTTCCAGTTTATATGCTTCAGAAGCCTTTTTGAGTCCCCCTGTGCAAGCTGGCATGAAGAGAGCAGAAGAAGCTCTTTTCTGGACACAGTGCTCTGGCACAATCCAACATCACACATCATAGACTGGGAAATGTGGAAAAAAGTCACTTTTTCAACATTTTCCTTTCGTTGCTCCCAGATGCACAGTGCCACTTCCCATTACAGGCCAGCATGTCAGTTGTGACCTGCTCAGGGGAGACGTGCTGTGACCC